AACAATACCGGGGACGAAAATGGGCTTGCGTCGGGCCGTATTACTCCCTCCTTGAGCATACCTGTCACAAGTTGCTCCATAGCTTGTTTCTAGAAATAGGGGTACCTATATGGTTTTACATTTACAGGTGGTGCCCCCGGGGTGAGGTGTATCGAGTGATCCTGGGCACGAGAAGGAGGCAAACCGGCTGGCTTCTGAAATATCGTCATAAGACTCCAATAGGCTGCACAAGTCAAGGGCCATCTTGCTTGCCATTTCTCTCTCGTCAATGATCATCTCTAGGCAAAAGAAAGAGGAAATAGCATCAGTTGTTGCCCTGTGCCTCAAACTATGCAACTGAATTTGGTGAGCGTCGGTGGGAGAATCTCCATGCCATAGCACTTTGGACCCCTTCAAAGTAAATTCAAACTCCCGTATTGCATAATCAGTGACAGTGCATCCCAAAGTTTCCAACCATGCTACCCCGAGTACTACATTAGCGTAGTGAAAGGTAGGATATTCAGGTCCTCAACCAGCATAGTTCCTTGAATCAACAAGGCGACTTGGCGCACTACTCCTTCACAACGAAGTCTTGGTCACTGCTCACAATTACGGCAAAAGTGGGAATGACCTCAATTTAGAGTGTTTAGCTACTCGTGGTTGAACAAAGTTGTGAATACTTCCGCCATCTACCAATACTTAGACCGGCGATCTACTCACTTTCCCAGTGAATCACAAAGTTGATGGTGATATTCCATCAATTAAAACATGGTAAAAAATAGCTGATTGCTCCTGTAATTCCAAACGTTGCAACTTCTCAGTTATGAAATCATCAGTAACAAAGGATTCCAGCAGGCCAGGGTCTACATCGGACCCATCCGTAAGCAATAAAAGTTGAGGAGGCATCTTACATATATGACAAGCAGTATATTTCTCTTTACAATAGTAGCACAATCCACGTTCATGACGACTCTGTAATTCGGCATGAGATAGGCGTTTGAGGGGTGGACGATTTGGTGGGTAAGAGCTAGATGCGGCTGGAATGAGAGGACTCGAGGATTTTATGGTGTGGGGTGACGGTGCAAAATTAGGTGTGGGTAACAGTGGTGGAGTTTTGGTAAAGGCAGGTCGGATGGGCCCTTTTTCAGCCTGGATCTATTTTTAGTGAATATGGGCCAAATCTAACGTCTCCTCATAAGTTTTTGGCCTAGGGACAAGCACTGAATTCTTAATGGGATTTTTTCCTAACTATACCATATATGAAACCTTATTACCAATTATGTGCATACTATGTAAATTACCCGCCTAGTCCACAGTTTTCCTACAATTTTTGTACCATTTGTTTAATACACGATTAATTGGGTAGAATCTTCCATAATTAACGTGCTAAAAATCAGGAAAAAATCTTGCGATTGATTGAGTCTACATTAAATTCAAGTTTTGAAATGGAAAGGAGATTTCTGTTCTTCATCTTCATCTGTTCTTCCAGATATTTTCCACCATTGATAGTCATTAAAAAGCTTGAAAGCTTTGAATTCAAATTTGAGTTTTCAAAAATCATTATTTGTTTGGATTGGGTGTTGTTGAAAATAATCGGGAATATGGTTTGGAGTTTATATCTCAATTTTGATGGGTTTTGGTGAAGATTAGACTTGGTTTTGACTGAATTTCAGATTGAAACTCGAAGAAGAAGAAGAAGACATATTGCAGAAATTGTAGATAAATTGTAATTAAATTGTAGTTAAATTGTAGATTATTTGTATTCTGATTGTAGATGCTTTATTTTCTGTTTTCACAAATAAAAAACTGCTAAAACTTCTACAAATCTTCTAAAAAAATCCATTTATGTCAAAAATCACAATTATGCTACAATTGGATGGGAATTGGGATATAAAAATTTAATGTACCCAGTTTGTAGATATTTTGTAGATAAATTGTAGATTATTTATATTCTAATTATAGGTGCTTTGTTTTCTATTTTCACACATAAAAATGACTAAAACTTCTACAAATCTTCTGCAAAAAACATAATTATGTCGAAAATCCCAATTAAACTACAATCGAATGGGAATTGGGATATTAAAATTCAATATATCTAGTTTGTAGATATTTTGTAGATGAATTGTAGATTATTTGTATTCTGATTGTAGATGCATTATTTTCTGTAGATGAATTGTAGATTAATGTGGTCAGCAGGTATAATCACAACAGCAGCAGCAGAATCCTTGGAAACTTACAACTGTGACCAATGTAGAAGAATTGAAGCTAGTTATCAACACGATTCCCATTTGGCTAACCACTATACCATTTGGTATATGTGTAGCACAAGCTACAACATTTTTCATCAAACAAGGCGTGACACTGAACCGAAAGATTGTTCACAATTTTGAGATTCCCCCTGCCTCAATTTTGCCTTAGTAGCTGTTGGAAAGGAGATTTCTGTTCTTCATCTTCATCTTCATCTGTTCTTCCAGATAGTTTTCACCATTGATAGCCTAAAAAGCTTGAAAGCTTTGAATTCAAATTTGAGTTTTCAAAAATCATTATTTGTTTGGATTGAGTGTTGTTAAAATTCAAAAATCAATGGGTCTCATCTCTATATTTTTTTAGAAGAAGAAGGAATGGAGAAGAGAAAGAAATGGGAGGGGGAAAACGATTGCTGGTTAGATCTTAGGAATTAAGGGGAGACAGAAACGTGGGATATATGGATACCTTTAATTAAGGAGTAAAAACTGCCCATTAATTAGATCCTTAATTAAGTATGGTATATGATTGATAATTTGGTATACGGGTTTGTAATTAAATCAAACCTTAAACATTGAGGGTAATAAGGTTTCCTATGTGGTATAGGAAAGTAAAAATTCCATTCTTTCTTAATATCTTTTGTGAGACCAGAAATAAAGAGACGTACCATACGACCATCCGTCATGTCGTCTATTATGTTGGCAATATTCTCAAACTGACTCTGAAAATCTGATACGGTGATGGACTGTCTGAGTTTTGCCAAGCGTCCCTCAGCTGGTTCTAACCCTTTCTGACGGAAACGAATCTGCACCTTTGCTGCAAAATGATCCTAATCCACCAGTTGTTTATTCTGAAAAAGCCAACGATACCATTCGAGAGCTGCTCCGTCCAAGTAGAAGGAGGCAATTGAGACCCTTTGATCCTCTGCTATGTGGTAAAAATCGAAGTAGCGATCTGCTTGAAAAATCCAGGCCTCCGGATTTTCACCACAAAACTGCCCTATCTCCACCGGACCTCTATGGCGAAGAATCGATGCTGCCGGAGGTTGGTCATCGTGTGGGTCTCTCCCATGGCGATGGCGAGTGACTTCCATTGTTGGGTCTCGATGTTGATTTCCCACCACTTCCAGTAACAATGAACAAATATCAGTAAGGATTGAATCCTTCACTCCCTGAACTGATTCTTCTACGAGAGACTTGAGTTTTTGGTCATCCATTTTAGACCTCTGGATGAAAGCACCAATGCTACAAATTCAAAAGAGCAGAAGGGTGCAACTCAAAGAAGCAGAAAGTAGTACCACAACTGATTAAACTGAAAGTCGTTTACAAAGACAAAGCCGGATGAAATCTCTAAAGTAGAAATTACAATGAATACTGGAACTAGCAGTAACTATGATAAAGGAAGTAGAAGGAGGTGAGGAATACAGAAGAACTGGGAAGAGAAATAGAATCATTCATAACAACTAAATTTACTCCTCGCAATGCCGATTTCCTGGTGCTTTATACGGCTGCCCAATCAATTTTACACCTTGTCACGTGCATTTCCCTCTTTCCAGACATAGTCCTCAAGTCGTTTAGGTGGAATGATCATTTTAGAAGTCTTGCGTGGCATTCCCATGTGCTCTGCTTGCGTGGCTTCCACGTCATCTCTATTTTCATTCACAACAGGAGAAGTTTCAGTACCTGAATCTCCAATCCCTGGCCAAACAATTGGTGCTGGCTTTGGAGTTGGCTTATATGGAGCGACAACCATTGAACAACCTGTAACAGGACCACTTTTTCTGCCATTGTCAGACCAGTGAATATTTCTGCACCAACGTACATGTCATAAATATCATGCAACACACATCTGCGAATAGGTGACACGTCGTTTAGAAATGTAAGGGGTCGTTTGGTATGTGTATAAGAAGGTATAGGGGTGATATAAAAATTTAATATTACCTTAATACCCTATTTGGTTAGCAAACCACTTATAGAGGATGGGTAATTAGCACCGGTATAACTTATACCTTCTTCTTAGAAATTATGCAATTGTCATTTTTAATACAATATACCAAACAATGAATAAACAATAATCCCAACATAACTTATCCCAACATAACTTATACCGGCATAAGCCGTATTCCAACCAAACGACCCCTAAGAGTACAAAGACGACTGTAGAGGATTGCGCTTATTCATGCTTAGTTGCAAACTTGCAATCTTCTCCGGGTGTGCTTGAATAATTTTTTTTAATGTCACATAAGTACTCTTTTGTGGCTTTCATTTCTGTTTATTTATAAAGTCAGAATAGATCATTGGGAGAGACTTGTCAGTACAAGAAAGCAGTTTGTAATGCAGCAGCGCTGCAACACTTAGTTTAGGATCACTTTCTTATTCCTTTTACACAGCTAGCCATTTTCTCATGAGATTACAAGTTTAACAGGCATTGAAACTATTTGAGAGCTCCTGTATGATATAAAGTTGCAAAGAGTGCCATGGGTTCGAACTTATTATATTGTTAAGGCTAAGGGTTCATATATGCTATTTGTTCTTATTTTAGATAGTTTTTACATATAAATTTATGCTCCATCGAAAGTAATGGGTTCAAATGAACCTAGCATGGTTACGCTGGATCTGCTCCTGGTGCCCAGTGGCGGATTCAGGGGGCGGAAGAGGGTTCACCCGAACCCCCTTCGCCGAAAAATTACACAGTATATATAAGGCAAGATTTGTTTTTAACTTTATATATTAAGTTTTGAATCTCCTTAACACAACTCAAAAGTGAAGTTTAAAGTCAAGGAGGTTCAAAACTTTTATAAGGTCGTCGGTTTAATTCTCACTAGGTATAAATTTTCTTTTTTTTAACCCCCTTCTAAGATCCTTCCTCCGCCACAGCTGGTGCCATCGGTTTGTTGGACCAAATGTGAAAGACCGAAGTCTGATTTTGTCCCAAAAGCCAAAAGCAAAGCATTCACTAGAATTTTTATCAGTTCAAAGTACAACAATACTAACACACGGTACAACATTCTGGAAACTTATACTTTTCTGACAAAGAAAGTCAATTTGTCAAGAAAACATTTTTCTCTACTTGCTCATTTCCATTGCTCCAATGAGTTCTCTGACCATTTTACTTCATCCTTCTCCATTCTTATTTACCAATCCATCAAACTCAAAAACCACCATTTTCACTTTACACAACAGACCAAGAATCTTGATTCCTCAAGCTTCATTTTCGACTTCACCAAATTCTCCTCTTTGGACGATTTCAGAGATAGTCAAGGCTGTTAATGGCAGAATCATTAGGTGGGGTCCACCTGGAACAATCTGTACGGACACCAGAACACTTGAACCAGGACAATGGTTCCTCCCACTTGTTGGCCAAAACTTTGATGCCCACAATTTCATTACCCCTGAATTAGCCACTAAAGGCTGTGTTGGAGTGATTGGGAACTGGGTTTGTGAGGACTGGAACAATGGGTTTGTAAAAGTGGAGGATGATACTGTAAGTTCTTTAAAAAGTTTGGGTTTTTATGCAAGAAACAGGTTTACTGGTTGTTTAATTGGGTTAACAGGAAGTGTGGGAAAGACCACTACAAAGACTATGATAGCATTGGCTCTGAAGAGTGTTGGAAATGTTTATTACAGCCCAGGGAACTGGAACAATGAGATTGGGGTCGCGTTATCGCTTATTGGGATGCCGAGGGATGTGGGGTTTGGCGTTTTGGAGATGGGGATGAGCAAGAAAGGTGAGATCTTGGAACTGTCTAGGATGTGTAGGCCAAATGTAAGGGTGATTCTGAATGTGAGTGCTGCACATTTAGAGAATTTCGCCAACTTGGAGGAGGTTTCCATGGCGAAAGGGGAGATTTTAAGAGAAGCAATGCCGGGGGATGTGTGTGTATTGAATGGTGATGATCCTCTTGTCATGAGCCTCCCAGTTTCGGCTGGAGTTAAGAAGGTGAGTGTAGTTCTTTTTATCTTTTTATTTTATATCTTGTTCTTTATATTGATTCTTCCTTAATGTATCGTATTGATACTTTAAATATGATATTTGTTTTGATTATAACTTAAATTTTACTGTATTGTATTGTTAAATATATCGTTACATAACGAGGAAAAGTGCCACTTTATGTAAAGACGGATCTGGTGTGGTCGTGTCGTAACTTTATTTTTTTCTCTCATCTAGTTCTTCCTTATTATTAATAATCCTTTTTTATTATTTATCGTACCTTTTTATGTATTAATTCTACCTCGTATTCTTCTTTTTCTATGTAATATTGTAAGTTTATTCTTCATATTGCTGGCGACAATATAATCTATCCAAATGTTGAAATAATATAGTACGATACAATACAATACGATACATTATGAAACGATATGTAACAAATATCCAAACAAGTTGTAAGGTGCTATTTGTCATATTGCTCATCTGGAAATGAAGACCTGTTGTAGTTCTTCAACTTAGCATCCCACAGGACCCTAAATAAGTGTTTTTAATTCTAAATGCATATTAACAGCTCTTATCGGAATAGTAATAAAGCACTTGAATTCGAATAGCATGTTTTTACACAATTACATTAGGACATTTGACTTGGTAGTTGTCAAATGTAAACATGAAATGCCACCATTTTCTACCTGCTTGACACCTCAAGGAGACCATTCTAATAATGTTATAAAGGGCAAATGGACCCTATTGTATCTGTCCAACTCTTCCGTCATCTCAAGCACACATATCCACCTCACTCATCACATCCCTGTTATTTGCTAGATACAGTTCTAGATTAGTAGATAAGAGCCAAAGAAACAAGGATCTGTTGCTTCTAATCTTTACGTATTGTGAAATTATTGTGGCTTGAAGTGTATTTTTTGTTATATTTCTTGATTGCTTTTTCTCTTTTCTTGCTGAAGGTGGTATTTGGTCGAAAGTTAGGTTGTGATGTTCGTTTAGTTTCTTCAGAAATCAAACATGGAGGTCGCAGTATACAAGTTGTTTTAGAGGCGTTCAACGAGATGTAAGTTCATCAGCACTTTTCTCTGAGCATTCTGTAGAGCTTGCTATTTGGCGTTGGCATGAAATTGGAATTATTACACATCTAGGTTTGACAGAGTACTAAACTTTTAAGCATTTTCCCCTTATATTTTTCTCTTTTCTAAATTGTGGTAAAATATGGTTTTCTGCTATTGATGTTGATCGAATACATTTGGTGTTCCTTATCCAGAAGGGCTTCTTTGGTGTAACTTAGATGTTGTTAGTTACATGGAAAGCATGACAGATATCATTATCCCCTCCATTCATAGCTAATAGAGAAGATACTTTTGTATTTTTCACATCTGTTGTTAATGCTGCACTCTTGACACTATTCTTGAACAAAATCAACTTGACTTTCTTTAAAAAATGTGTTCTGTAATTTAATGTGCAAGTTCAGTACTACCATAATTTAAAGAACATAGGCTGATGAAAATATGAAATATGGTGAGAAATTGTCTTATCAAGGAAATGCCTTTCTTCTTTTAGGTTATCTTAATCTGAAACATAATATAACTTGACTTTTTTATTGAAACAATTGATCCACTTGAAGGCTCTCTCTTCTCTCTCTCTCATTTCTTACAAGATAGCCTCTCTTTTCTCCTTTTGGTTTTAGTTTTTCTAGGATTTCATTTCTTTGGTGTGTGTGTGGG